TGGATCTGACCTGAACTATTTGAAAGAATCATAGAATGACGTGTTTTCATTGGTCCTGAACCATTTGGAACGTTGGTCGGATACTGCGTTTGGATCTGACTTGAACCATTGGAAGCAATCATAGACTGGCGTGTTCTTAGCTGCCCTGGACTTTTTGGAACAAGTGTAGGATACTGTGTTTGGATCTGATCTAAACCATTTGGAACATTCTTCTGACGCAACTGTGAGGTGATCCTCTTAACAGACTGACTGTTGCTGCTGCTTCTGTGCTTTGTGTAGATGCTCTTGTTGGAGGGCCCTCTCTGTGGAGGAACAGAAAGTTTTGGCACCGCATAGTGCCAGGCCAGGGCAGGCTCGCTCCGACTGGTGTTGGTTTGACCCATTGCCAAGGAGCCAACAACGCCATAGCCATTCTCATAGCGAGAGCTAGAATAAGTAGCGTTCCTCCTCCTGGTTGTTTTTTTTAAGTTGTTCAGTGTTTGAGGATTATTTATGTTCTTCTCAAGGCTGAACTGCAGAACAAAGAAAAAAAACCAAAATGTATAAAAACGTTTGTGTCATCTTAATAATGCAGTCTGATAGCGATTAAGCCAAGAGACTTACACAGATCTTACAAATTTACACAGATCAACAGCCATCCAAATATTATAAGATCATTTTGAAAGCCAGCAGCGCAGGAGCCAGACATCCAGAAATAAAAGTCATAATGCAAATAAACCAAGTATTACAATTATATGTTATCTTGTAAATGTGTATGTTTTGTTGCATTGAATCAAAAATACAATAAACAGAACCCAAAACCAAACCCACCCCACACACACAAAACACAAAAAAGTGTATATATATTTTATGAACTCCTTGGTGGGCCAGACTGAAGTCATCCGTGGGCCAGAAGTGGCCCATGGGCCACCAGTTGAATAGCCCTGTATTAAACACGAAATTCTCAAACACAAATTCAAACACTGGGGAATACAATCCCTTTAGAAACAACTTTTAAAATATATAATTTCAACTTGTAAGCAGTTTATATATATATACTGTCGTTTTCTTGAAGATAGGTGCTTTGCAAACGCAAAATCTGAAAAACAACTTAAACTCGCATTACTCGTCTTCGAATCAGTGGGAAAATAACACAACGAGAGAGTTCAAACAATCAGCATGGTCAAGAAAAATAACCACTAAGATACACACAACCAAAAAAAAGGTAAAGGAAAAAAGTTATTAAAAAAAAACTCACACTTTTCGAGAAGCCATTGGTAAAGAAGACACTTCCATTAGATTCAATCATTGGGCCTGAGGAGAAACGTTAGACGTTATCGTAGAGAACACGGCTCTTTTATAAACAGTGATTTATGGCTCGATTTTCCTGGAGGAAAACAAGGAACCTTTGGTTCTGAAGAGAACCTTTGGTTCTGTGACGACACTTTGATCTTTGATTTAGGCTATACTCTATTAATAGAGAGAAAGGCATATTACCGATACCTTTATAAAGAGAAGAGAGAAGTAAACAAAGATCAGAAATGACCGCGAAAAATAATTTGGATCCTTATTGTGTATATATATATATATATATATATATATATATATATAT